GATCAAAAGGTGTTATTATGTGCTTCAGCTTTATTGGCGTTTATACTGAAAAAAATCCATCATAAACTCTCTAAGCTTGAGTCCATTAGGGTGCGGTAAAAGCCGCGGTTGGAAGACTGCCAACTGGTGGGATACATCCGAATTCGTCTCAGTATATAGATTTTGGCTGAAGTGGCTTTTACTTGATATAGCCTCTATGATACTTCAACTCGATTCGCGTCCGTGACATCCTGCCCCATTGTGCACTAGTCAAGCAGGTTTGATGAGAGATGTTTTGTAATGTTAATGGTTAGCACGTAAGGGCAGGCTGTGTGATGTGCGGAACATATGCAGCCTGAAAGTAAACATCGGCTGACCTCCCGATTCCTTACTGACTGCTCTATCCTTAAGCTACGGAGGAGGCGCTTCCCAGCTGTGCTACTTATTGGTTCAAAAGCAGATGGCCAATCAAATGGGCGCTACTGAAATGCCAATTTCTGGTCCATTAGCAGTCGTCAGGCTGTCAAATCCAATTTAAGGTTCCCGGAACCTGGCATTGCAACGTCGGGTTTGTTGTCACTGTGCTTGTGCAACTGGCCCAGTGTCTTCTCGGTCGCAAAAGGGAATGTAACTTTTCGGGGTTGCGGGACATGTCTTACCCATTGTGCCTTGGCATCCAAACCCTCGTAGGCAGTCGTTACGCGACAAATAATGTTGCAGAAGTGGAGGACCGACAAAAACGACGGTCTCATTAGCAGTGGTCAATCGTTTTTTTGTCTTGATCTTTTGAAACTGGTCTCTTTGGCCTTCGGTCGACTTGTTTAAGTACTTTTGACGATTAAGACGCTCTCGATGAAGAACCTAAGTTAAAACTTACGGACCATGTCGAGTTTGCCTTTTATTAATTCGCTCTCTGATGCCTTCATATCTCGGGGGAAATCAGAGCAAGTCCGGGATTGTGCTCCCAGCGAAATGTTTTCAATGGCTTTGTGGATGAGACCCTTATCCATCCTCGCTCATTAAGTATGTTCTGATTGATGGATAATTACGAATTACGCCTGACTTATCTCCTGCCGTCTTTCAAAATGCTCAATGGAGAAACAGGGAGCGCTGTTATGAGTAAAAATCTTACCGACAAAAAAAACCTTGTCAGGTTGAAACCAGTCCGGCTAAACCTTCCACAGCGGTCAACTCGATCGACATCTATCTCGGAGGCTTTTGTAGACATTGACGTCTACTAGGCTGACATCATTTCCGCCAACTGAATGTATTGCGTTCATTGAAGTGTGGATGAAGGTCGGTCAGAATTTCACTCTGAAGACTGAGTGCCTCTCAAGCCGAAAGTGGTTGTCCGGCGCATTGCGGCTCGAGTCTTCAATCTCCATTTTATCTTTCAGATGCGCAACTGATAGTGTTCTCATATCCGAAAGGTAGAAATTGAGCTTTGAGACTCGAGGCGAACTGCACCAGACTAGGGATAACTACTGGTCAAAGCGTTTTTTGCAATCTGTCCTTACTTGGTGCGTGTCCTTACTAAGTTAGTACGAAACCTCTTCATCGTTCTACAGATTTAAAAAACCTGACATTGATAGGCCGGGAACTGCTAAACACAGATAAAGAAATGTACATTTACTCCTTCCATTCTTTTCCGTCTTTTTTGAATGTCAGTGATCTCGGCTACGTCCCTGGGTTTTGTTTGGCCTTCGCGTGTGTTCGGCTTCCTGTGGTATTTTGTAGAGACTGTTATTGACCGCACGTTGTGTTTGTTATCAAGTTTTATTAGGCATTCCGGCGGAGCATGTGCGGAATTATCCAACTTCATGGCAACTTTGACTACGGAGATAAGCTTAGAATATTCCAGCTCTGCACGGCGCTACAATCATTGTGCCTTACGTCTAGTTAGGGTTTCCCCTGCCTATTTACGCACCGACCTCAGCTAGGCGTCGTCCCTTTCGACTTAAGTCCTAGGTTTGCATAGTTCTTACCTCAATTTGCGTTCAGAGTTATGCCATAACAGTGATTCTGAGGGCACTTATGGCCCTGTTAGAGACCCGTAAAGCCTCCTGTTGGAGCACGCTCAAGCTTGTGATAATACATGCCAATTTTATCTGCGGATATCAACCATAGAGCACTCTAGTTCTCCCCCGCATTCATTTGGTTCTGAGGGCACTTTAGGCCACGTTAGCAGCTCACTGAGGCCCATAAAGACTCCTGTTGGAGCATGCTCAAGCTTGTGATAATACCTGCCAATTTTATCTGCGGATATCAACCATAGTACACTCTGGTTCTCCCCCCTCCATTCATTTGATTGTTTTTGCTCTTAGGCCTAACTATCAACCGACTTCCATTTGGAAATCAGATTTTTCCTCCACTATTGATGTTGACGGCAGTTTTTATGTCCCCAGCCCTCAGAAGGCCTCGAGGTGGCATGCAGCTGAATTGCCCAAGACGAGGTGCATCGAGCTTCTGCCACCAGTTCGGTGTACTGTGTTTAGCTTCCATGCCTGCTTGACTGAGCATGACCATTCCGTTAAAAGATTTGAACCCCCTAGATAGTGATGCATCATTCTCAGTCCGAATTGAGGCGTAAAGATCAGCAACTGGTAGTTACGGTTATTTAGTGAAGCGTCAACCGAAGTTCTGAAATGTTTTTTTTCGATCCGAACAGATCACTTAAGTAGGGTTGTAATATTGACTGGTCTGCAACCTAACCTCCAGAGATTTAAGTCACGGCAGAATACTGGCTTTTGCACGAGCTTCAATCTGACAGCCTGCAAAAAACACACTCTGTAAAAAATGGCTACTTATGCAGTAGTCATTTCTATCATCGATTTTAAGTGGGCTTATAAATTCAAACATATTTTTATAGAAAATATGCACAAAAGCCTTGTTTTTTGTACTTAATTGATAGAAAATGAGGCCTTCCAATTGCATACCTTTTAAAGAGTTTCTGTCAATTTTATGACAATGAAATGCTCATTCGCGCTACATCGTATCCGTCCATTAATGTTGTCTGTAATGTATATAACACTATCCACATCCATTCCAAAATTTTATGAGAATACTGTCTTATCTTCCTCATACTATAGGGTAGTATGTACTTTTCCTTGGACGGAATTTATACAGTATGTAGTTTTGAAACGGCCGACGGGGTTCAAAGTTATTCGGCAATTTAGAGACATTTTAAAACCAAAAAATAACCTTTTTTCAAGTATACTTTTTGAAGAAGATGTGGGTTGTTACCGCATAAGTACAAGGAATATTATTTTTGTGCATGTTTTGCATAGCACATTTACGAACTTATAAGGGCAGCGGAAATCAATGAGAAAAATCATACCACGTAAGTTGCCATCCTTTGTAAAATAGTTTTTCTAAAGGCGCCCGGCAAGAGGCTCGTTACGAAGCCGGCATTCTGAAATGACTGAACTATCTTAGGATTAGGTTGTAGGATAATCAGTATTACAACCCTACTGAAGTAAGTAGTTCGAATCGCGTTGGTAATTCTTTTCGGTACGTCAGGTAGATGTTTGCTCCTTCGAGAACGATGCTGGCCACATGCCAATCACTGTAAATGAATTCGCACCCAGGTTGCCAGCCACAAACAGTGTTTTGGTCACGTATGGACAATCTATGGAGGCCATTTATAGTAGATCGTGAAACAGCATAGAGGTTAGGGGGTTGGGCCAATTGCAGTCGAGACCGAACAGAATTAGTGAGTTCGGGGAGCGTATTGTCCAATGCACCATGCAGCATCGGAGTCACCTCAGCTTGGGCGGTATCTTGCTCCGATCGCAGATGTCTCCTATTATATATGTCGTGTTCAGTGAGCAACCTGCCTCTTCATGAGTTTGAAAGACTTGAGTGCCGTTTTGTCCCCTTTCTAGTCTAAAAACTGACAGCTTTTGCCGCAAATGCGGCTGTTTGAAAGTGAACTGCTATTTGCAGTTTTAAGGGTATTCTGCTCGAATTTATGTTCTCAGTATTGTTGTTATGTTAACTGAACAAATAGCCTTGCCTAATTCTGGTTGTTTTCAATTTCTACAGTCAGCCACCACCACTATATTACGCCTACGATCATCCGGTATCCCGGACCTTTGAAGTATTAGCACATTTGAGCCCGACTTGGTTTGCATAAATTGTTTTTTTCCCCTTATACAGTGACCATGGCTGAGAAGTCCGATGACCTCTACCTCCCAAACGCCGTTATTGGGCGCATAATTCGTGAAGCAGTAAGCCTCCTCTTCCCTTAGATAATTTTATCAAAGCTAATGTCATTTGCGCGGACATTCCAGTTTCTGAGTTTGCGTCTCCTAACAACGAATATTGTCTCTCAATACATGCTTCTGTGCCAATACAAGCGAGCATGCGAGTCCCAGGAAACAATTGAGCAGACGACTCGATCGCTGGGACAATACGTTTATTCGCCCGACGTTTCGACATCCGTCGCGGGTTCATCATCATCAGAGCCATGAGCAGGAAACAGTAGCTCATGTCTCTGATGATGACGATGATGATGAATCCGCTACGGATGTCGAAACATCAGGCGAATAAACGTATTGTCCCAGCGATCGAGTCATCTTCTCCTCACATGCTTTTGTTCTAAAAACGGTGTTGCCAGAATCATAATAAATCTGCTTTCATATCTAGATTTTGGTGCTTTACCTAGACTGATGCCCCAGAACTACATTAGTTTCCGCATCTTGACCACGCTTG